ACACAGCGAGGTGCAAAGGTTCATGCTAATTATAATCACGCTACCCTGGCTCCTCAATCTACTCGTCTAATTGGATTAATTACGCACATCTCACTAGGCCCTCCAAAGTTCAATGGGTGCTTAATATTGTTTTTGTTTTTTCCGAAAAGTATTAAAAAAAAATCAAAGTTTATGCCGTTTTCAGCAAGAGAGGCTAATCAAATAATCATGCAAATGATAAATATTAATCAGAGTGCGTTGTCACCTGGGGCGTTGATTCCCAGGCACCTCTTTTCACAGAGCTCTAGCTCAATGACAATGTCAGTAAGTCTAAGCCCATTGTTAGTCTTTATGAGTTACTGCCATGGGAACAGAGAGACAGACAGGGAAGGACAGAAAGCTGGTATATTCTGAGGGTCTGTTCACTTCACAAAAGCTATGAAACATCCTCCAGACTATAATGACAGCTGTATATTTAGGTCAGCTTCATTTGCAGGATCCATCTTGCTCAGCTTAGAGAAACGGGCTGCTTTCTTTCCTTATCATTAGGAGTCCATTACGGCTGGCACACCCACAGAGTTACGGAGTTCTGAAATTACATTGGATGGAGCAGAGCCATGATAATGCACAAAGATGATCATTCAAGGTCTCATAGACTTCAGTCAGAGCAGACACTGTATTTAATTTGAAGTAAATTAAAATGAGGCTGTGAAGGACAGAGACTGAAACCTGGAAAACATATTCCCAGTAGACATAGCACAAGTGTTGTGGAAATTGTAAAGACAAGCTTAGGACCTAATTTAGACAAAAACAGTACAACAAAAACAGTATATATTATCATCTGATAATACCATAGTACTACCATATTCTACTGTATAATATCCCGGTCATCACAGCATCATATACTGAATAGATTGTATTCAAATAGGGATGTTATGGTATTACCATATTGTACCATAACTATGCCATGCTTCTGTAACTTCCTGTGACTGCCCTCATAAGAAAATGCTAATATACAGCACAATATATGGGCCAATGGTGGCTAAATAAAATAAAATAAAAATATTTTTTTTTTCAATCAGATCAACTATGATTTGGCTAAAAACATTGTTGTAAAATAAATTAGAAATGTTTAGTGCAACAAGTATATTTTTTTAAAAATAATTATGGTTACAATGAAAGTAAAGAATAAATTATATTTAATTATTCTCATTATATGTACCAATATAACAATATCTTTTCTCTTTTCCTTTTTTTTTTGCATGAAAAATGCCATATGGAAACTTCCAATTGTCTAATGACCTACTCTTCATGAACTTAATGACAAAATAAAAAGCACATTCATCACAATGCTGCTCGATTTTACACTGGCAGCAAAAACCCTGTGAACTAAATATGAATATTCAATATAATCGCCCAACCCTATCTAGTATCCTTTTCTTTTTGTCACACCTAAAATGACTTTGACACAGGTGTTCTTAGACTCATCTGCTGCCTAACACATTCAAACAACAGACTGAAGCCAATGGTGGCTAAATAAAATAAAATAAAAATATATATTTTTTTTCAATCAGATCAACTATGATTTGGCTAAAAACATTGTTGTAAAATAAATTAGAAATGTTTAGTGCAACAAGTATATATTTTAAAAAATAATTATGGTTACAATGAAAGTAAAGAATAAATTATATTTAATTATTCTCATTATATGTACCAATATAACAATATCTTTTCTTTTCCTTTTTTTTTTGCATGAAAAATGCCATATGGAAACTTCCAATTGTCTAATGACCTACTCTTCATGAACTTAATGACAAAATAAAAAGCACATTCATCACAATGCTGCTCGATTTTACACTGGCAGCAAAAACCCTGTGAACTAAATATGAATATTCAATATAATCGCCCAACCCTATCTAGTATCCTTTTCTTTTTGTCACACCTAAAATGACTTTGACACAGGTGTTCTTAGACTCATCTGCTGCCTAACACATTCAAACAACAGACTGAAAAAGCCACGCTGACATTAATAAGACCTGAACTCTCTATACACTGCCATATTTTAAAGCTCCATCAACAGTCTGCAGGTAGACTTTCAGATGAGGAACCACAGTCTAGTCTTGTGTATCTTCAGTCCATTGTTCTCAAACTTTCTACTTTTACAGTGTTTTCTGTTTTCCCTAGGAGCTGCAGTCTCTTGTTGACCTTTCTCATTACTACACATTTCTTTGATTTTAGAGCGAATTGTGTCTCTCAACAAGCGCTGCTGACACAGTGACCCAGCTCTGCTTGCCTCCAAAGACAATGGGAAGCAGATGAAACCATGTCAGACACTGAAAAAAAACCTGACATGCTGAGCGTTTGAAATGACTCATGTACACACACAGCGTCTCTGCTATTGATTAGTGTGTAACAAGAGGCCCATTTAGAGGTTTTCCACTGTGGGAAAGGTGAGCTTTGTCACGCTTGAGTGTCTTCTAAAGGACCGAAACACACTTTAGTAAAACATAGACTTCACTTTGGCCCTTGTCAGTATTAAGGCAGTCTACAGGAAGCTAGCTGTTAGCATTCATATTCATGTGACAATCCTGACAACATCTAATGGGAACATGCAAACAAGCAAAACCTGGTCTGGATGGATATAACAGAAAAAAGAGAGAGAGAGGACAAAGAATGTGACAAAAGCAAAACAAGGCAACCAAGCAAAGCAACTTTGTTCTGCATACTGCGAGCAGGTGTCCAAAGCACAAGAATTTTGCTCATCAATGCTCCGTATCTTCCTCGGCATGAAAGGCAGTCAGCCTGGCTCAGGTCCGCCACAGAGCTTTTGATGTTTAATTAATGTTTGGTTTGCGGAATATGCAAATGTAAATAAATGTATTAAAACAACATACTGTAACTTGCTACCAGCAAAAGCCTGAAAGGACCAAAACAATTACTTTGTCAGAAATAATGAAATAAAGTCAAAGACATGAGCACTACTCCTCTTTACATGTTAATTTATGCATCTTTTCGCTGAAGACTGGAAAACAATCCTAATGAGTCATAGAGGCTGATAGTGAGAAGAGAAAAAATAAGAGAAAGGGAGGGAAAAAATAAAAGATGCATCCAGCGCTATAGTTGCCACATATGTGCTGCCAGGTAGTAGGACACACATTGCATTCAGAATAAATGAGAGGGATATTTCTGTACCGTTAAAATGTGCTCAAAATCAGAACCCTGCCAAAACAGCCCTGGATACACGTCCTATAATTAACACACTGTCCAGATCCAATTTTTTCCCTTTTAAGCCTTTTTTTAATAACTGCTGCAATAATTTTGAGGTGTTTTATGTATTTTAGTGTAAAGTGGAGAGTGGTGCACGAAACAGGCTACCTCTGAATTACTGTACTTGCACAGTATGTACTGAAGACTTCTTGATCGTCAATTTGGTAGATAGTATTTGGTATATTTGCCAGGTGCGCACTGTGAAAAATCATTTAATATTTTTGTCTTGTTCGCAAGTAAAAAGTGGTAAATATTAATAAAACAACTTCAAGATATTATTCATTTACTTGTATAAGAGAATTAAGATATTCTATAAAAATTAAACATATATAAAGATACAGATTTTTAGCTATGTTGTATAGGCCTACATGTTTAACACAAAAGTATATTTGATGCTTGTTGGTTAGTACAAGTACAATTTAACCATAAAAAGCAAAGCCTGACTCACTAGCTAAGTTGCAAATTTAACTTGTGCAAAATTGGAATATCGCATAAATCATTTGCGAATAAGCACCGTTTCAATCCAACGAGTCAAAGAGAACAAAATCACAACTTCCTGATAAACTGGCACTAAATATCACTAAGAAAAATAGCAGGAGACACTGAATATGCCTTTTATATACTGTATAGGAGGGAAGTACGCACTCGGACTCAAGGGAAAATGCCAAAGGGATGTGCTACACAAGTACGCAAACGTTTCAAGCAACACAAGCCTGTTTTCATAAACGTTCTTCTTCTATGGCCAGATTTCTTGTCTACATTCATGGTGGAGCAACAATCCAAAAAATAATCTTCACTGAGCAACTTGGATCATATCAACATATTTATATATGAAATATATATATATGAAAGGCAGCATATGGTTTAATGGCAGACATTTGACAGTTACACTATTGCCCTCTAGTATGGGAATGTATATGGGAACGCTCACTTCCACATTTTTGAGTTTTTACGTCTGCGTACTTGCATAGATTCTGTTTCTGTCCTTAAATGTAACAGAGGAACTAACATAGCTCCCTAGGGTGCTATATGCATGCATCCATGCAAACAGGTAGCGGGGCAACAACAGGGTCAGAACGATTGGGAAATTATTCATCCAGACAATCACAGCACTCGAAAAAAAGAAGAGCTCCATGACCTCACTTCCCCTCCAAATAGTGCCATGAGGACTGGAGCTGCAGGGAGGGCCACTCCAACCATCCTCCATCACGCAAACAAACACAAGAGACAGAGACAAAGAGGTACAGGTAGAAAAAAGACATCAAACCAGCCCATTGAGGGCCCCCTGAAGGAGACCCACAGGTCAGAATTCCAATAAGAAAGGTCAGAGGTTGAACTCTTCCCCGCTCACAACGAGTGATGTGTCCGGCGGTGACCCTGAGCAGACATCACACGGACAAAGACTGACAGAGAGACACACTGGAACAGAAAAAATAGTTTAAAGACAGCCAAAGACAGACAAAGGGGGAAATGACAAGACATTTGAACATGGAAGGACAGGCGTGGATGACTGGCACTGGAGGGGTGAGGACATGAATGAAACATGAAGTCAGTGTTTCATGTGTCATCAGAGCTGATGGCAGAATGAGAACGGCATGGAAATGAAAGAGAATGAGCACCTTCCACAAGAGTTTCCCACAGGACACAACCAAACACAAGCAGACATACAATGCTAATTAAACAACATCTATTTCACTAACATAAAATTACAAGAAAAATCTGTACGGAACTATCCCACAATTCCCCACACTCACCACAGGGCCCTTGTTGCTTGACAGGGATGCCTGTTTCGGTCCGACACTCTTCGAGTTTCCTCTCACAGTCGTTGGGGTATGTCTTTCCGTCCTTTCCGCACAGGGGCTTGTATGTGCCGTCACATTGTATGGGGTTGCAGGAACACCGAAACGCTCCGTTTTCCAGCAAGCACATGGCGTTGAACTTACAACCGTTCGGGCAGCCCCCTGGAGACCGGAGACACACGTATACATGCGTCAACAATGTGAAGAATGCCAGTAATCGTCCTGGTGCTAATCAACACTGACTGGAGGCATCTCTCTTTCTCTCTCTCTCAATCAGATATCGGATATTGACTCACTCAGGGGTTTTGAATTAATTACCGTGCCTGATTATTTAATCAATTATCTAATTCCATTCAGATTGATTTGGGGTGTTTTTTTTCCACTTATAAAGTTGTGTTAAGCTGTCACAGATGGGCCGTGGTGGTGCGTAATTACAGCAGCCTTTCATTTGTTTGAGAAAATTAAGAGACCTATTATGTTATTGTATAATCTGTGCTTGATTTATGTTTGATTCCATTATCTAACCTATCTTTAACAACGTGACATACATGCTGGTGAAATTAAGCTAGGAAGCTAGGAATGTAAGTGGAATTTCTGGAATTTCTGAACTTCTGGTTTTACTCCACATGAAATTGCTTTCACAACCCAATTACTTCCACAGTGTGACGTATTTGTGAGTAAAAAACATTATTTAATAAGAAAAAATCTAGGACAAAACTTGATTTCATCCATTAGGAATCGACTGGATTGCGAAAACTGGGAGTTCCACACAAGAACGGACCTATGAGAGATTGTGGAGGAGAATTTCACTCCTGAAACACATATAACACTACAGAATCATATCCCTCTGTGATACTTTGTATTGTCAGATCAAAAAATTAGCAAGTTATCATAATATTTTTTTCTAACTAATCAAAAAAAAAAAAGTTATTTTTTTAGTTAGCATTTTGTTACGCTAGAAGGCTAAGTTAGCTAATTAACCAAATATTACCAAAGCAAAAAATGTGAGGTGCCCAGATTTCTGAATGGAAACAGCTGACAAGTAAACATCCTAATTTTTGTGCTTTCATTTAGCCTTTAGTTTAGTTTATGTATACTAGTGTACCATAGTGCTAACCTGCACTAAATTAGGTATCTAGGTACTAGGTATCGCTTCTCCTTTAAGCACTGTGAATGCAGTCGGGAAGCATGGGTATCTTTCGCTCTCTCATATATATATATATATATTGTAGCGGATCAGCTCATGGGGAAATATGAATAATTAACCATAACTAGTTTGTTATGTTACATTGTTATATTTTGTGAAATACTGTTTTATTTTGTTATCTAGTATATGTGCAATGTGTATTGCTTCTGCTTTAAGCATTCGCGCTCAGTCTCACTGTGAATGCAGACGGGAAGCATGGGAGTGAGAGAGTAGGCCTATCGGTGTGTTTGTACTAATTTTGCCTCATACTACTCTTCTT